GAGAGAGAGAGAGAAACGCATGCGACCGTGAATCGTTGCTTGCACACATAGGCTTACACGCAACCACATTGGAATTCACCTGTCAAAACAATGAGTAGCTCCTAAGTGTTCTAAAGAAGCTTGTGACCTAAATGGACTGATATTTGCATCGGATTTTCTAGTAGTTTGATTCTAGGCACGCTTCTAGATAATGTTCCCGATGGCTCGAAGCAGCACATCGACAGTACAACGAAGATATTAAAGTTTTTTTTGCGAGGCACCAATATATCAAAGTTGACAATTAAAATGAACAAAACAAATATTCTAAAGTTATTTATAAACACTCTCTTTTCTTTTTAGTTTTGCATTTGACCTATTCTTGAGAAACGCAAACAATCAGCCGGCTGATTACAACGCGGGTGTTGACCGCCTCTATCAAACGACACGTGTTCCGGTGGGTCCCATCAACCGACAGTCCCTCCTACCTTGTCTCCTGGCGAAGCAAACTGTCCACATGTTTCTTCTCTCCCAAGCCTTGTTCTCCCCTTATAACAGCCCCGTTGATTTCTCACCGCTCCAACCACCATGAGGCAAGGCTCCAGCCCACCGCCACCGCTGTTTCTGCAACCCGCAACAACACCTTTGTTGCAAGCGGGGAAACCACACACGCGAACCAACATCGTCGAGGGCATACCCCTCCCCCGGTGCTCCAGGTGCATCGCTAGCCATCGCAGGACCAGATCAATGACGTGGTCCTATAGGGCAGACCTAGGGCTGTAAGTGTGTGATGCACGCGCACGTTATTCCATGGCTTGTTGCTGCAAGATTTTGCAATGGTATGTTTGCAAAAGGGGTCTTGTTACACCCGCAACAAAGTTCATGTTACAATATAATGACTTGCGCAATTTAGGTTTGCAACAAAGGTCCTGTTGCGGTCGCGATGTAGGTTGTGTTGCAATGGTAGAAGGTTCGAAGAAAAGAGCAACAAGGGTCATGTTGCAAAGGACCGTGCGCAACATGGTTGTTGTTACAAAGGGCTGAGGCTGATGGGTGAAGATCGAACGACCACCACGTGCTCCATCTAATGTCTACGAAGACGGTCAATCTTATCCCAGCGTCACCCGGCCGATGCGTACCACACCCTCGTTTTTGTGAATACATTTGGCCTCTCTTCTCTGACTTTCCAATTATCAGAGGTAATGCAATTCTAGTGCGGCTGGGCTCCTAGCCCAGTGGATAGAGCATTATGGTTGATCTAAGTATACATGGGTTTGAACCCTGTAGGCGGGATACCTAACTCTCATTTATTTTTTGCGAGTTTGATTTAGTGTCCCACACCTTGTAATTAACTTAATAAAATGCCACAGGGCTCCTTCCGACGCTTGTCTCAGTTTATTTTTAATGTAGGTGCAATAACTAGTTGGATTGATGGTGTACCTTCCTTGATAGGAGTGAATGTGTGAACACGCGGTTCACATAAGAAATTAAAGTCAACAATAAGAACAAGGACAATAATAAAGATAGGTTCTGTACCAAATATATGACAAGAACAAAGGCACTAATCGCACATCAGATTCTTACCTTGAAGGGGTGGATGTGATGGATCAATGCCGCATACTGAGGTAGCGGAGGAGCGAGAAGTGGTGGTGGACACTGATTTCTTCCTCCCGCATGGTCAGATAACCTGCGGGATAGGCGGCGGTGCTACCCTCACGTGCGCCCAGGGGAACCATCGGCGAACATTCCTCATGTGCGCTAGTCGGAAGCGACTGCGATGTCAAATCCCTCTTCTCGTGTGTCCACAACATAGAATGACTCTCTTCGATGTTGGGTTGCCTCCCTAACTTGTCCTAGCTTGATAGTGTCGTTCCCGAAAAGGGATGGCTCGATGTGATTTTAGTAATCAGTAATCAGAAGGGTTACTATATATATCCCTCGTCCAGGTCTAGATGCATAGGGTATGCACGTAGTTCTAGATAATCAATTTGACTAACTAAAACTCTGTTCCTATCCGAATGCATATCATTGGATTCCTATCCGAATGTAGCTTCTAAAGCATATCATTGAATGCATATACATTTATATAATATACTAGATGATACCCCGCGCGTTGCTGCGGAATATTAGTATTAAATACTGTAAAGATCCATGACGTGAATTCTTAGTGCAGATAAGAGATAACAATGAAGGTAAAGAATCACTGAGGCATGAAGTTGCATAAACCACAGTTGAAAATGTATAAGAAGTAACGGTCATACTTACATATTAGTTCTATATTGTTTGAATCCTACAAATTATATGAATTTTGTCAAGCAAATGAGACAATTGTAGAAAGGCTATCATTTTGCAAAATTATCACTGATGAATTCCAACAACAAATAGATGTATAGTTCTAATGGACAATAATTAACTTCGCGAACCATTACTGCCTGGTCATGTAAGCACACATACAGCACGACATGTCAAAATTCTATCTAACTTTAAATATATACAAATGAATAATGTAATTTGTTTAAGCAAGCTTGGCGCATTTTACAAATATAGGCGCTGGCGTAGAACAAATAATTTACTTCTCTTACAATTATCCATAGCAAAAACAACAAACTAACCAAATTCCATACATACAAATAAAACACTGCATATTTTGTTGCAGAGATATCACTCCAGATCTTAGAATATATAAGTACATCTACCACAACCGACGGGGCCACAATAATTTTACCATCCAGAAAGATAACTTGAAAATACACCATGTTTGGCAAGTACACGTGCACACTTCCATCTTTGTTTGTTAACAGAAACAGAACCATAGATTGCAGGAATTAGACTCTTGGTATTATGCCAGTAGAGGATTAGAGCTATTAAGATAACTTCTGAAATTGCACGCTTGGATATATGCATTGGAGTTAAAAAATCCCAGATGATAATAGTATATACATTAGAAAAGAAACTGCACAGAGGACATGTAAAGCAATATTGAAGTATAGATCAAAGCTTCTACCAACAAAATCAGTAATTGCACGGATAATGAACCGTGGCAGTGTTCGTCCAGTCCAAATCTCCGATGGGTAGTGGTTCAAGATCAAATTGAAATTTCATCAATAATCAAAATGACCTTGAGACTTGATAGAGTAGAAGGGATCAGGAATTAAGGAATTAAAAGAAATCATGAATTTGGGATCACATTTACAGAGGACTGCAGTGCAATGCTATATTGCTATTGTATGTCTGATTTTAAGCCTTCATAATGCAACAAAAAGATTATGACCATAGTATATGGCATACCTATCAAGAAGAGAAACCAGAAACTATTCCTGCGGTGGCGTGGTCCATGTGGGTGTGGAACTGTGGATGCCACGACCTAGTCGAACAATGAAACCCAGCAAAGTACTTTATGGGATATCAATTTTTTCCCAATCCTATAAAGAGAAGGCTTCAGCAAGGTAACCAAATGACGTAACCGACAAAAGACACAACAAATTAAGATAGTGTATGGTAAATTTCTGGTACATGTTCAATTGATACCTCGTCAGTGGCGCTCTTTACCCTAAACCAAAATGCAAATTTGTTATGTTTTCGTTAGCGTCGCAATCAAAAACCCACCAGTCAATCCCCCTCGCTACTACACTAAGAGATAAGGCAACGATATATCGGACACGATCAACAGCAAAAGACTTTCACCTGAAATCCTTCTGTCCTACTCCCTCCGTCCGGAAATACTTGTCATCAAAATGAATAAAAAGGGATGTTTCTAGACGTATTTTAGTTTAAAATACATCTCTTTTTATCCATTTAATGACAAGTATTTTCGGACGGAGTGAGTACTAATCATAGGCGCCGTCTTGAACTCGGGGACGTGAGAGTGAGACCGTCCGGGCACAGTAGTCAACCTGCACCGAATCGTGGAGCACCTGCATCGGCTGGCTACTGCTGCAATGAGAGGCACATGAGTAAGATTTGGTCGAGAAGGCATAGAGAGAGAGAGAGAGAGAGAGAGAGAGTTTGCCATGAAGATGGGAATTGTCGTGGAGAAGAACCGCTCAGTTAAATCTAGCACTTCCTTGTACGTTTGCAGGGTAATGAAAGCCAATAAATCCTGCCGTTTCAACATGCATTTCTGGCTGTCGTTTCATGGCCACGAGTGAAGACTGAAGAGTCGTGGCGACGGCGAGCGAAGAGACAGCGACGCCATAAGACTTGTAGCGAGGAAGATGAAGCCTGAGCGAAGTACTGGAAGTCTGGAGTTATTTACATGGGCTAACACCTGGATGAAATAAGCTAGCTAAGGCCTGCGTGATTACATGGGCTGGCACTAACGACAAAGCAAGCTACTAACTTGGATCAGGCAGCCCATTTGTGAAAATTGCCCAGTTGTTGGCTTAAACGCGGGAACCCATGCAGCGAGAAAACTGTGCGGGCGGCAGCGCCAGGAATAGCGATCGTTGAGGAGGCTTCACGGGGTATCAACAGGGGCAAGTATTTATATGCAGAAGATGATGTGGCATATTGCTGATGTGGACAGTGTGCATGATGAGAGAATAGGATGTAGTGGGGAGCATCTTCTTAATAATGATAGATTCTTTCATAATTAATGGTAAGTAGTTAACGCATATCTACGCTACTTCCTTCGTCTGGTTTTATTAGTCTACCATGTATTTTGGGTCAAACTTTAACCTTAAATTTAACTTTTTTTTTGAGCATCAGACCTTAAATTTAACTAGGAGATAAGTTATATAGCACAAAATTAGTATCATTGAAAAGTTCTTTAGAATACGAATCCAACAATACTATATTTTTTATGGCATACAACATATATATATATATATTTCTAGTCAAACCTATGATCAAAATTTAACATAAAATATAAAGGGAGAAATAAACCCTGATGAAAAAAGTATAAATTATCAACACCGAGATAGAATTTTGTGTGGCCAAGAAGCTTTCTAGCTGGCGAATACTCTTGCCCATGGGACATAGAGTTTCACTTGCACCCGAGCACACGTCCCTCCATTGTTGTTCATAGCTACCGAATTGGATGCATTTGGCATCTACAGTTCTCCATCGATACAATCAAAACTCTTTGAACAAAGAAACAAATGAGTACAACAGCCTACCGAGATTTACACAGGGTATTCAATCGTGCAAGGCCGCAACACGAATCTATTGGCCACGGGTACCAATCAGCTACTACCTCCGATCTGAGGGAGTACATATTTTTCCTAACAAACAAATCAATTCTCACATGGAACGTGGGGTTTCGCGTGCACCCAGAGCTTGGACTTCCTTCTCACCGTGATGCCGAAGGTCTCCGTCATGTCCATGTCTTCGGCCCCGACGCCACAGGGCAGCTCCCAGTCGAAGTGGAAAAGGAGGCTAGCCAGCGCCAGCTCCATGTTGGCCATCCCGAGCGACATGCCGGGGCACATCCTCCGGCCGGCTCCGAAGGGGAGGAACTCGAAGTCGGCGCCCTTGAAGTCGACGGTGCTGTTCTCGAACCTCTCCGGCCTGAATGCCTCCGCGTCGCCCCAATACCTGTCGTCCCTCCCCATCGCCCACACGTTGACGAACACCTTGGTGCCCTTGGGCACGTCGTAGCCCATCACCCGGCACGTCTCGCGGCACTCGCGTGGGAGCAGGAGCGCCGCCGGCGGGTGCAGCCTCAGGGCCTCCTTGATCACCAGCTGGAGGTAGCCCAGCCTCACCTTGACGATGTCGTCCTCGGTCAGCTTGTCTTGCCCGTTGAAGGCCTCTCTCACCTCCGATTGCACCTTGTGGAGAACTCGTGGGTTTCTCATGAGCTCCGACATGGCCCATTCTAGCGTCGTCGACGATGTCTCGCTCCCGGCAGAGAAAATGTCCTGCAGTTAGTTACCATTCTGCTCAGAATTTTCAGAGCCGTGTAAAAATAAGATGGCCGAGAGGAATGATGATCGTAGATAATATCTTACAAAGATGACGGTGCTGATGATCTCGGTGGTGAGTTCAAACTGCAGGCCGCCGTCCTTCTGCAGCCTGAGGAGGACGCCGAGCAGGTCCTCGTCTCTCTCGTCCGCTGGGATGCCGGCGCGTTCTTTTATGATGCTCTGCACGATGCGATAGATGTTCCTCTGGCACCTGACCATGTCCCGCGCGGCGACGCTGAGCCGGCGCACGAGCCGCGACGACGGGTACAGGTCAGCGAGATTGATCCCGCCGGTGAGCCGCACGGCCTCGTCTAGCTCGTGCAAGAACTCGTCGCGGTGGTGGCACCTACCGCCGATGGCCGCGCGCACCACGGAGTCGTTGGTCATGCGGCACATCTTCTCGCTGAGGTTGACTGCTTGGCCATCACGGCACCCGTCGGAGACGGCGCGCAGGAGGCGGGCGACCTCGTCCTCCCGTGCCGGTCGGAAGGAGAGCACGCGGCGCTGGCTGAAGAGCTCGTGCACACAGATCCTGCGGAGCTCGCGCCAGCGGTCGTTATAGTGGGAGAAGAGGATGCCCTTGCCACCGCAGCTGATGATGTCGAGCGTGGCGCTGAGGTGGCGGCTGGCGAAGGCGGCGTCGTGGGTCTTCATCACCTCCCTGGCGGCCTCGGCGGAGGAGACGACGAGGGTGGGCACGGCGCCGAGGCGGAGGAGCATGAGCGGGCCGTGGGCGCGGGAGAGGTCGCGCATGGCCCGGTGGGGCAGGCCCCCGGAGCGCGATAGCAGGAGGTGGTGCAGGCTGCCGATGAGCGGCAGCTGCCATGGGCCGGGTGGCAGTCGCTGCCCGCGGGTGGGTGATGCGTAGTGGTCGATGACCAGTTTGAGGATGAGCAGAACGAAGAAGAGGAAGAGTAGCGGTGAGAGCGCCGTGAAGTCCATCATTTTGCTCGAGGATTCTGACTGAGCTGCAGCTGATGAAGGCAAGGCCCCAGCTTGCACGTAGATATAGAAAAATATGCCACTAGCAGAGTGAAGAGATCTCGAAGCCGTCCTACGGGTAGCTGCTTATCCACCCGCCGAAGACATGCATGTGCCTATAGCGGCGCATTGGCTCAACGCGCGGCCGTAACCGTAATTTTTTTATCCGTTTGACATCTATCCCGTCCCATTTCTGACACAAATCTATGTCCGGTTTATGTTCACACAGACGTCGAACGGACGGTCACGCGCTTACTCGTCGTCCGCCTTGAAGACGCATGGCGACGGTCCACCTACCTCCACCGTTCAAAATGAATGCGCACGCGTGACAGGCCCTGGCTATTAGCCATCTAGCTGGTGGGTCGTAGTCGTTCTTAATGTGGAAGCCGTGGACCGGCCAGTTCACAGCTTTCACTTCCTAGCCGGCCCGCTTTCTCGAGCCCCGATACGAGCAAATCCTAGCCGCCACCGTTGCATCCTACTCATCCTCCTCCCGGCCGGCGCCATGGGCTGGCATTGGATCAGCAAGGGGAAACACGACCATGAGGCCGGCTCCTCCTCTGGTCGTCGCCGCTCCACCAGGTTCGCGCCGCCCACACCACTTGCTCCGCCTGCATTTGAGATTGCGCAGCCGCCGGCCGCTCAGCGCAATAGGTCGTGCGTCCACGCCAACGTCTGCTGGCGCTACTAGGAGACGGCGATACCACTACCGTGGGGCGATGTCCCACCTCCCCAACAACTAGCATCTTTTGGTGGATCGCATGCCAATCCCCCCGTTGCCGGTGAGCGGACGTGCCCACCGCGACGAGATCGACTGACGCCACGCCCACCTGCCACCTGATCTGCTCTACGACCCCAGGTAGGCCATTGATTCGCCGCTGTGGGATATGTGGCTCCACGACGAGCACGACCTACATCAGCAATCCTTTTTTGCCGGTCGTCCTACGAGCCTGCGCTGCCCGCGTCCTGCTCGTGCTGACAGACCGCCCCAAACTGCGGCCGTAGGCGTGTGCGCGGCATCACGCCAACGCCATCTCCGTCCCCGTCCCGCCACCGCCACCTCCCATGACCAAGGAGGAGGAGGAGGCCGAGCTCATGAGGCGGGTCATGGAGGACTCCATGATCACCCACGACGAGCGGCAATGGGAGGGCCTGAAAACCCAGTTGGCCCTCTCTGCGGCTGGCGACATGGCCATCCCAGAGCTGGACATGGCTGTCGAGGAGGAGGTGCGGGAAGAGGTGGTGGAGGAGCCACCCATTGCCGCTGGAACCCGCGTCTGGTGGGCCAGCGGTGGAGATGGTCATGCACGACGTCAGAGATGGCCGACTCGTTGGGTATCGGCCCATGGTCAACCACGATGTCGTGGTCACTAGAGCAGGAGCAAGAGCCATAGGAGGAGGTGGTGCAGGCGCCTCCGGTCTGGCAGGGGCCGCGAGCCCATCTCTGGCAACCACCTCCGCACCTCGACCTCACCAGCGACGACGCCGAATAGGACGGCGGCTCCTGAAGACGACGGTGGCCTCACCGCATGGGCCTTTATCTAATTTATTATATATTTTTTAAGTTTTAGTTCAATTAAGAACTGTGTTCAACTTGGATATTCTGGACGTGTGGATGTTTAATATTAATATTTTTATATTATTTGCAAGAGTTATTTGGGTTTTTTTGGCGCCGAAATCAAATTCAAAAACACGGACGGTTTGAGATGCAGCATGTCGATTGGATGCACCGACGGCCGCACGACCACAAACGAACGGCCGTGTCTATTTTCCTGCCTCAAACAAACGAAGACCGGACATAACGGACGTCCATTTAGGGCCGTACGTTGGAGTTGGCCTTAAGCAACACAACATACATGCATGTCCGTTACCCGTGTGCATCTAGCAATAGAACCGAAGAAGAGAATCTTTGTACATATTTAAAAAGTTCATCCTCATTATCTTATTTACTCCCTCCGTTTCTTTTTAGTCTGCATATAATTTTTGCCTGAAGTAAAAATATCTCTATTTTGACCAAGTTTATAAAAAAATATCAACATTTACAATACCAAATGAATATCTTTAGATTCATTATGGAATATAGTTTCATATTATGGAGAAAGACGTTTTGGAGGCCGAGCTCCATGAAGGCCTTTATTTTTGAAAAAACCAAATTCAAACTTCTATGATTCATTTTTTTAAATACGCGTGTATGTAAGGATGTAACTCACATGTGTGTAAAAATTCATGATGAAATATCTTGAGTTGCGACCTGTACAAAAAAGACAAATTCATAGCCTGGGAGGATGAATAGTATCATGTGTTAAACAGCTCCATATTTATGTTTTTTGCACAGCCCTCATTTCAATGTATTTTGAACTGAAAATTTACACACATGTGTGTTATGCTTTCATATATATATATATATATATATATATATATATATATATATATATATATATATATATATATATATATAAACTCTATTAATAATCCTGGGTGAAGAATAAGTAATTCTCCATCCTGGCGCATCCACCGAGCCACACGGTCTGGCTCATGCAAACCTCGACCGCGATAAAATTACGTTTCACACTTGTAAATTTATGTTGATGGGAGTGCTTTGCTGGTCGTTTAGGAGGTAGCCCACCCCGCCATTACGGGGTCTCTGCCCAGGTTACAGGTTCATGTACCTGTATCTTTTCTAACCCACTCGGCTCGACACCGTTTCTCTCTCCCTAGTCCATCCTCCGATTGCGGCGGCGGCGGCGGCGGCGACTGTGCCGGTGGGACAACCAGGAAGCGAGGGCTACTCTCCACCCTGGCGCGTGGTGTACTCCCCCATTCCCTCTCTCATGCTTGCAGGAGGCGAAGTGGACAGTGCAAAGATCCGACGTGAGGTCGGGCGGCGACAACTGCCTTCTCCTGCGTCCATCCGCACCTTCGTCGGTCTTCTCGCCGGTAAGAACTCCCTCTTCCTTTTCCTGTCGTTTCCTCATCCATCAATTTCTGAATTTTTAGGGTTAGGGTTCTTGATTGTTTAGGAGCGGGGCAAAGAAAGAGCACGAAGGCCAAGAAAGGATCCCGGGTTGCCCAAGAAGCTGCTCCTCAGGTTGCCACCGCACAATGAGGAAGCAGTGGACGGGAAGGGTAGAGCTCCGTTTTGATCTCAAGGGCAAAATTTGGGGTTCGGCCCTAACAAGAGCCCTCATTCTGTCCAACAAAAAGAAGCCCTTATTCTGTACGCAGTTCATCCTCACTTTTCTGCTAGATTTCACCGTCACATCAGCAAACCTATGGACTAAAGGAAATCACGCAACAAAAGAAAAAAAATACATTCCCTTCCCCTAATAGTTCAACACTTCTTCAGACTTTATGCAAATATTGTGAGTATTGTTTCTATCCTCTGAAGGTGTTAAGACTTATATCCCGAATGCCAGTGCAGTAATTAATTAGATTCTCGGAGTTGAAAGCATTCAGTCATGCTTATTTTAAATCTTTTCTCATTGTAGTTCATATACCTGTCCGTGGATCACTCAGGTGTCATTTTTTTAATAACTCAACTTTAGTTTGCCAGTAACTAGTTTCAAAATGTTTTGAAAATGCTACTTGCATTCAGGAAGAGAAAATAGTATACTGAGAAGTACCTACCATGCCCCTAGCCCCCTACTATGGTTTCAGCATAGTTTGTGGTATACTAACAAGTACCTACGATACGATGCCTTTGTATTTTTTTACCTGGGCCCTTATTTTAATCTCAGCTGTAGTTAATGGTAACAAGCACCTACGACGCCCCTATTTTATTTACCTGGGCCACTAATATAATTTCAGCTCTATTTGGTCTTTGGAAATGGTATATCTGGAAATAAAGAACTATGCGTGTAATTCTATCATTCTGCAAATTAGTCAATTTTGTAGTTTCTTTCTTTTCCTCAGTGATATGCCAATATGTTTCAACTCAGCGCATGGAGTAATTTAATGGTCCTTCTCCTGTGATTTACTAGATTGTCAGCAATGATTCAAAAGGTCAGTTCCTTTAGACATAGATGTGGAATAAAGCATCAACCTATTTAATAATGTATCCATCCATCTAGCAACAGGTAGCGTAACAAGCATAAGTAGATAGTGACCCAGACAAAGAAACCCACTAAAGAGATTGCAGGAGTATTGGTGAGCGCTCTGAATCTACAAATTCCTTGATCCATTTTTACATTATGCAAGCATAACAGAAGAGATAAAATGTAGACACTTTTAGGCACATACCCCAAATATGCCTGGCGTTAGATCCAGATCAGTAAATTAACAGTATGCCAACTACACATAGCAATTCAGATGAAAAAAATGTAGACATAAAATGGGAGCACAGTAGCCAGACACTTTGAACTTCAAATATCATAAACTCCTATATGAAAAGGTAAATTCTGACTGATGCTTGTGCAATTTCTGTTACCATCTAGTTTAATTCTCTGTATGTATATGCTATGTATAAGTAAAAATATGCATGCGTTTGTTTTCCTCAGGAAAGAGCATTCCTCTATTTATTTTATCATCTAATTTAATTCTCTTTATGTATACATGTTATAAGAAAAAATCTGCATGCGTGCTTTTCTCTAGCAAAGAGCATTGCTCTATTTATCTCGGACCATCATGTCTCATTCACTGGGTTGTTGGTAAGAATATATCCATGTTTTAATATTTTTCTGACTACAGTTTATAGTTGTAAAATTTGTCATTAAGCTTCAGCAGTTCAATCTTGCAAGCTTCTTTGAAGTGCGGTCTGCCTGAGATTACCCCATTGGCTTTGACTAAGAGTTCCAATTAATTGTTATGTTGCTTATCCTAAAGTTCATGATCCTGCATGCGAGCAAAGGATGTGATAAGCGCAGTTTTGTCTCTGTAGTTTTCTAGACTTTATTCATCATGACGATTTTATGGAGTCTGAACAATGTGTAGCTGCAAGGGAGGTTCCAGGAAGACTTCAAGAT